AAATACCTATGGTTCTATCTGAATGAGGTGTTCGTGCACCTATTGTAATATGAATCCTATACAACTTTAAGACAAATTTGTCAACACCACTGCAAAGCAAGTCAGCAGCATCTGCATTTTCCAGATAAATGCTTAAATTCTTCTAGAATTCAGGCCCTTAATCTGCCTCAGGCATTTAAGTCTTGGGTAACTAAAGTAAATTTAAACTCCATTGCTAAGTGACTCAGTCAAATCACATGGGTTTAGTCTCCTGTTGCCATACTTCTTGGGTATCTGCACTCCAAACATGATGCCCTAAACCAGGGGCCAGCAACCCCTGCCAAGCATGGCATACAAGGCCATTTTGCTCGGCGCACCACCACCAGCCCAGGCTTTAAGCAGCTGCTGCCAGCCATGGAGCCCAGGCTGCTCCTAGCAGGCAGCTGGGAGGCTGCAAGGTCTGCTGCAAGCAGACTGGGCTCTGTGGGCCAGCTGCTCCAGCATGGTGGCACTCTGGCACCTTCCAAGGTAGACATTGTGGGGTTTTTTGGCACTCCGGCCAAAAAACATTGCCTACCCCTGTCCTAAACTATGAACTCTGTATGCTTTTCTTCCTCCCAAAATGAAGATGAAAACAAGATTTTCTAACATAGAGCCCCTGACAAGGATAGGGAGCAGAACTCTCTTGGAAAAAATCTGCATCTATGAAGACATCCTCTTTCACTTGGGGAAAAGCAAACAGAAACCTGCATGTCGTGGGTGACTTGGCAGGCACACAAGGAAAAGTATTAATATGTTGCCTGGAGTGATTGAAGTGAGGCATTTGCCCTCTGCTTCAGCTGAGTCATAAACTCTTTTTGTGCTGTGGCTTTTTCAACAGGGTGTGGTACTGAAGTGCAGGTAACACAGACTCTCTTGAAGAGACTAGCAAAGCTGTTGCTCAGCCTTCAGCAGTTAGGCTGAAATAGTGGAAGCAGTGGTGGTGGGATGTGGGGGACCGAGTATCTTAAATGTGTTGTGCAGACCCCTGCTCCCCTCCACCCACAGTCCAGTAGCAAGTGCAGAACCAGCTGTTCACCCTGAATTTGGGAACTCTCCAGAACTGAGAGCTTTGCCTTGTAGCTAACATTGTATCCCCCACTACCTACTTGGAGGACCATGTTTGGTATGGAGGAGCAGTGTGCTGTTGGGTGTCAGTTTGAGTGTTTGTTCTTTTATACTAGTTCTAACCCTAGGTCCATGGTGACCTGAATTTGACTCATGAAGGGTGTAACTTGACACTGGAAGCTGCTGTTTGCTTGGTTGTGCACTGCTTTTGATTTCTTTGCATCCACCATCCTCTAATAATTGAAGAGTCTGTGGGCGTTCTGTAGGCAGAACGTGGTAGCAGTTGGGCTTGCAGCAGTCCTTCATGCTTGGGTGGCTTGTGCACTTAGCAGCTGTTGATGTCTTGGGAGACCAGCTGGGAGATGGGAGTCCAGGTTGGTTTCAAGGTTATTCTAGGAAAAGTCTAGAGTTCCAGTAGAAGCTTACAAACACTTTTTCCATGGGGCCTTTTCCAGTGGGAGGAGCTAGTCGCATCAATCGGGGCCAAGTGCAGTCCTTGTTCTATAAATGTTTTAGGTGTTAAACCAACAGTTTGTTGGAGTGTGGTGGCTGTCATAACTTGTAATGCTTGTGTGTCGGAAAAGTGAATCATGGTCTGGATTTCAAGGACTGTTTCTTCTGGCCTTGGTGTAAGTGGGAGTGTGCACATTGGCATCTGTAAGGGGGCAGCTGAGCTGAACTAGTCCTTTGCTGTATGCATATGTTTAGACCTCGGGCCCTGAGCAACAGTGCAGGACAGGCTTGAGGCTGCTGTTGTGGGCCCCCACAGCAGATGTGGGAAACTCAGGATGCCACCGTGCTGCCATTTTTTAAACTAGCTGAGTGCTCTGTCCCTAGGGTGGGAGGAGAGAGACTTTCTTCTGCTTCCTTGCTTGCGGCTCCCTTTTTTTTCCCCACCCCCATTTTTCCCTTTTCTTTAGGTTCACAGATTCAGTGGTATAAGTGAAACCTTTCCAGATGCTTGGCAGGTCAGAGCAAAAACATGCAGCTGCAATTAGTACTCCCATGCCCTGACAGGGAGAAGAGTTGAGACCCAATAGGGGTAATCCTGTCCCTTCTAGTGATGCTGGGGCTCATATGGCCCCCAACCATGTGAGCTCAGAGGAGAGACAGCTGGGAAGGGCCACCCAGGTATTCAGCCAGCTGTAGTAGAGAAAAGCAGCTGTAGCTGAGATGCTTTGGTTGATCCTCATGTCAGGCTGCTGGTTCTTTTGTTGGTTTTTTTTTTGGGGGGGGGGGGGATTTTGTTTTTTTTGGGGACTTTTTTCCCCCTTTTTTTTCCCCTTTTTAGGGTGTTGTTTTTTTTTTTTGTTTTTTTTTCGGGGGGGGGGGGGAATTGGGTTTTTTTTGGGGGGGGGGGGGGATTTTGTTTTTTTTGGGGACTTTTTTCCCCCTTTTTTTTCCCCTTTTTAGGGTGTTGTTTTTTTTTTTTGTTTTTTTTTCGGGGGGGGGGGGGAATTTGGTCTTATCTGGGACACTTTGTCCCCATGTTCATTCCCTTTCTCTTCCCTGAAGCCTTATTCCACCTTCCCTCTTTTTTCCCCAATCAGGAGCCTTCCCCTCTTCTTGTCTACCATAAGCCCACCTGAGTAGGAATTATTATTTTTTCCTCTGTACGCTGCTGAGTATAAAGTGGGGGACCTGATCTTGGCATAATCAAGGTGCTACTGTACTACTAAGAATAATCATTCTGATTACTTTTTAGTGTTTAGTCAAGGAATCAGTTGCCTGGCCTTCAAGGCTTAAACCATAGGTCCTATAGCACTAGGGATATTGTCTATCCTTGAAAAATCTTTTAGGGAAATCTCTCTCTCTCTAATCAGTGACCTACCTTCCCTTTCCCCCTCTCCTCCCCCCAGTTACTGACTGCATAAGCCAGAGGAGCAGTTTGAGTTTACAAGAGGTTGGTATGTGCTATTGTTGGGACTAGGATCATATTCTATTAGAATTGCAGGATTCTCCTGTTAAGTTCTGTTTTTTTTTTTCTGTTTCAGTTCTGGCATAAAGCATGTTTCCACTGCGAGACTTGCAAGATGACCTTAAACATGAAGAACTACAAAGGCTACGAGAAAAAGCCGTATTGCAACGCGTAAGTGTCTGTTCCCTTCTCAGCCTGCAAAATTCCATAAAGTTTGGTTTCTAGTACCTTGGCTGTTTCTTCTGCCAGATTTCCTGTAACTGTGGGCAAATGACTTGCAGACAGGCAACTGATGATAGCTGTCCTTGCTTACTTGGGGTGCGGGATGTTTGAATTCTCTGGTAATGGGGAGTAGGGTGGAAGAGATGAAAAATAGTAAAAATACAGAGCAGGAGTTCTCAAACTGTGGGTCACAACCCTCTGGGGGGTTGCAAGCAACTTAAGAGGGTCACAGACATCTTGGGGGGTACACATGATGGCAGCATGGAGTGCTGGAAGGCAGTGGTGACTGCTGTGTGCGAACTCCCTGTCCCCCCACTGCTGCCATCCAGCACTCGGGGTCACAGTTCCACAAAGTTTGAGAACCCCTGATACAGAGTAAGAGGTAGGGAGGTACTTAAGGAGCACAGCTCCTTCAAGGCGTATCCTTTGAGTAGGAAAGATGTCTAATGTGTTTCCAGTAATGACCTTCTTTAAAATTCTCAAAGTTCTACCCCTCTGTCAATCTGAGACTAGTCAATTAAGTTATTTCTGGATCGGTACCAAGCTGCCTTTGACTCCTTAGTCCTCACTGACCTTCTCATGATCAGTATGCTGCCAAAGGGACTTTCCATCCTTTTTCTTGTAATGATCCTACTTAATGCAACACTAGGGGATCATTGTTTCACTTCTATGGAGATTTAAGTATAGAGTACTCCAAAATGGAACTCTGACGACGTTGAGAACTCCATTGATCGTTATGGTCTCTGACAGGTGACAGGCTCTTGGAAAGAGGGATAGAGCCATATCTAATATAAACAAAAACCAAGGCACTTCTGTAAGCATCTCCTGTACAGGCACATTTTAGTTTTCAGTGTTCCTGTTGCTTCAGTCTTTTTGTGTTACTCTGTTGTGAAAGTGAAACTGACTGGAACCACGGCTTTTCATTCTAGCCTTGATGAGCAGAAGCTAATACAATGGTGATACAGACTGTCTGCTATTAAGGTGGCAGTGGCAGCAGTCTGGGGCCAGTCCTGCCAGTTCTACTGAATCCATCAAACTGAGTCTTAACATCTTCATAGAGCAGCTTGCACTAGAGGATTTTTGTAGTGGCTTTTCATATGCCGTACAATTCTTTTTGTAAGAGCTGTTAATACTACTTGGCATTTGTATAGCATGTTCCACTTACAATTTACTTTAAACATTTAATCCTGACAACATCTTTATAAGATGAGTATTAAACCCACTTAAGGCAGAGGGGGAGAAAACTAAGACATCTTGCTGTACCAGGTGGCCTAGCAAAAATGTCAGTTGCTGTAACCCTTGTACAGTGTTCCTGCTGCTGACTGCACCGATGAAGCTATAACCATAGTGAAGTGGGAAACTGCCAATAGTGTGAGGCTGCAGCCAGAGATGATATGTGTCTAATGCCACTGGAATTGGTGTTTTGAAATGTAATTAGACATGTAGTGTTTGGTCAGTTATGACTTGGGATCAGATTCCCTGATATACAATACTATGATGCAGTGGAAGAATAAGCGAGACTAACTTTATTGGGTTAAACATTGGATCCTAGCTGTGTCCTAGGAATCCTGCTTCTTCATTTAATAGGCAAAATAGGAAACTTTTTTTTTTTGTAGTGCAAAATGTCCAGTTTGTACAGTTGTCAACTGCTAACTCCAGCTTTAGGGTATGACTAGTCAGGAGGGTATAAAACTTGAGCTCTGTGGGACCCCTCCCCCTTCTCCTTGCAATTGGGTTTTAGTAGCTGGCAGCTGATTGGTTAGCTATGGCTATGAAAAGCTCTAGGTTGGAGACTGTCAGCCTGCGGGCAGGATCCGACCTGTGGAACCTTGGATCTGGCCCTTGGATGTGTGGCTTTGGCAAAGAAAAGCTCTGGCAGCAGGTGCCTCTGACCCTGGCTTGGCTGTTCCAGCTTGCTGTTGGAAAAAGTTGCTTACCCCCTGCTCTAGGTTATCACAGGAGTACAGGACAGGATTTGTTTAGCAGCAGGTAAGCTTATTGGATTCCAGTCTTGATATCCATCCCAAACATCTTGTGTCTGGCTGAAAAAGCTGATTATGAATGTAGCATAGCCAGCCATTCAGGATCTCACTGAAAGCTAAACCTTTTGACAAGTTGCCTCTAAACTGCACAAAGTACACATAGGAAGCTTGGCCTTAACAGCCCTAGAATGGACTTTGACTGGTGCCAAAGGTTGTTTACTTCATACAGATTTGCATGAAGTAATCTCTTCTCATTCTTGCCAAGTATGAGTTAAGTGGGAATGCTTTAGTGAGTCTAGAAGAAGAAAAACTGCCTCTGGTATCAGTACAGACTTGTGGAGAGCTTTTAACCTGCCTACCTGCTGTGGGCTGCAAATAGTTTTCCCCTCTCCATCCCTTCTCCTGTTTCATAGCTGTCTGTGCTACCCTCATACGGCCCTCCCCTGCAGCTATTGTAGGCTTAGGCACAGAGGGAAGTAGGAAGTGCTGCTAGGGAGTATGCTGTGGAGAGGAGCAGCAGTGTGGCACAGCTGCGTGCTGCCCAATTTGTCCCAGGCCGGGTGCGGCTTTCTGAGACCAGATCAGCCTCTTTGCTGACCAGATCGAGGACCATAGGCTGCCCCCACCTGCTTTAAGGAGTCCTGGCTCCATGGCTTTCAAACTTCCTAAAGTCCTAGAACCCTTTCACATCACTGCTTGTGCATTGGAGCCCCTATCCCAGCCTTAAGACTGATGCAGAGCCAGGCAACTTGGCCCAACAATGGCGATTTCACTGCCTCCCAGCCTGCTCCGCCCTTACTTCCAATCACTTTGCAGAACTCCTGATGACCTGTCATGGGACCCTAGGGCTCCACAGAACATGGTTTGAAAACCACTGTCTTAGCTTATAGTATAATTTTTTTACAAGACCTTGAAGCAGTGCATTGTTCCTTCTGACTGAAAGGCAGACTAGTATCTGGTTCTCTAGAGAGAAGCCCTAACACCTAGGGTTGAGATCCCTTGTGTGGTGACTTCAGCACGGGTAGGAAGCATCACAGCTTCAGTGGTGGCTGCTGCTCTGATGAGGATCTGCCTCTCTTGTTTCTTTGTGTAGAACTCAGGCTAAACTTAAGCCACTCAAACTTCAAGTAAAATATGTTACTCTTAATAGCTGCCTCTGGCCTTGAGAGGCTGGTAGCAGTATCATAAATGCACAAGAAACTGTCTTCTGATAGGCTTCTGATTTATTTTTTTTTGTGTTAGGTGAAACCCAAAGCCAGCATCAGTAGTGCTGTGTGCAGAAAGAAGAGCTTGGAGTCCTCGCTCCTCTCCCCTCCACCCTTGGTGAAAGGGAAGTGGGATAATAATGGGAAATTCCTAAGATTCCAAGGAGTTTGCGCAACCCTGGACCCATCTCAGTTTCTCAACCCCTTCTGACCAAGAATTCCCTTTGATGTTGAGCTAGTGTCTTAACCCTTCAGTGCCCTGAGCGCATGCTCTCTGGTGAAGAGTTGGTTGTCCACCCTGCTGAGTATCTGTGGGGGATGGGTAGAGTGAACAATCCAGTTAACCACATATTGGTGACTTAACAGCTGGGAGTTGGCATTATCTCCTTATCTTGCGTCCACAAATGTAATACAGGCCTTAAGTAAGATCTGTTCCGCTGCCAGATCTACTCTGACTTGCAGATGAGGCCCTATAAACATCTAAACTTCTGGTTTGTTAAAATGTTCCTATTCAGCTTGCTTCAGAACAGTCTTCCAGGCTCCAGGTGCCTGGTTCGTGACATGTATACTGTAGGGTTGTTGGTTGTAGCCATTAGTCTAAGGACATAGGCAGGCAAGGTTCTTTGGGTAGATGTGATATATGTTAGACCAACTAAGTAGTTGGGGAAGGGGGTGTTCTTTGCAAGCTTTTGGGCACAAATGCCCTTGGTCAGGCATGGGGAGACTGCTGATATTGTTCTCCAAGGTAGAGAAGAAGCTAATTTACAATATGCAGGTCTGAAAATGCAAACGAGTAGAAGTTTGGAAGACAATGGGTAGAGAGAGGAGGGGAGAAGGAGGAGAATGTAAGCAATAAGCTGTAGGCATGTTACCTGGGGTATGAGATGTCAGGCAGGTTGTAATATGTCATCATAACATGGTCCATGACATGTAGGAGATGACACTGTTAGTGACTTGGTAGCATGCAGGCTGCTTGTCTGCCCTTTATCTCGGGTAATGGGAAACTGGTGGTCCCATTTCTACATGAGGTGGGTGTCTATGTTCATCCTTCAGCCAGGGAAGGATGATATAATTGGTTCCCATTGGACATTAGTTTAGTGCCTTGTTTTACCAGAGGCATTCTGAATGACCATGTTCAAGTCGTTTAATCTCTACTCCCATTTGTGAGATGGGAGTAATGGTGCCTCTCTCCGTTTACTAGGATAAATACATTAGACTGCATTGACCAAATGCCAAAGTAATGCAAAATGGGTAGCTTCTGTTATCCTTAGCACTCATATGTCAGGGGGTATCAGTCATTTCAGTATCTGAGAACCTGCTACTTTACTGTGGGTCTTAAGTCCTAGTTGAGCTGTTCCATTTCCTGGTTTTGCTTTCTCAGTTACTGTTGCTGTAGCTCTGTGGCTTTCCCAGAATAACCTGGGAAGGAAGGAGTGGCCAGATAAGGTGAGTTTGCCTTCATCTGACCCTGTGTCTGGCACTGAGAAGTCTAGCTCTGCCTAAATGGGGCTCACCCTTTCTAAACAGTCTCCACCACTAATTGCTAAAAGTGCAGAGGGAACAGCTTATGTCTGCTAAGGGGGAGAAAAGCAACGTTTATACTGGCAAAGAGGAGACTGCTTTTCTGAACATGCCTTAACACAGGGTCTCCTCTGTCTGAGTGCTGGCCTCCTGCCAACCTCCTAAACTTCTCTTTCTTCAAGAGAGCAGTAGGAAGAAGGCTGGGCTTCCTCCCTGCTATCTGACATTACCCTGTAATAAA